CCTCCCCGCGCCGGGACGAGCTCGCAGCTCCGGCGCCCGCTGCCCTCCTGGCCGCGCTGTGCACAGCGACTGCCGCACGCCGCCTCGCCGCGCCGGGCTGAAGCTCCCGAGCTTTATTAACATAATTTATTCACCTAGGCAGAGGGGAGGCCGCCCAGCCCCGCGCGGAGATTCGACGCTTTGCATAATTTATGCAGAAGCCGGAGCCTGGTTGGCTGAGCCGCGCGCCCGGAGCCGCGGGATTCGGAGCGGCGCTGCCAGGGCGCCCTGGAGGAGCGCGGCTCGTGCTGGCTTGTGGCTGCAGGGCAGAGCTGGGACAAGCCCGGGGCGCTAGGTACTACGCTGAGTTAGCCTCCCTACCTAGGAACATTGGGGAGTCCCTGGGAAAGTGACTTGATCAAGGCCATCTGGACCATCCGTGGCAGAGGCAAGAATAGACCTTCCTCTTGGTGGGACTGTCAGTCTACTTTAAAAAAAAAAATCTTTATCAATGCCAAACCAGTTCCATATTTCATTGTGTAAAGGCCAATAGTCAAGTTCCAAAATTCAGCTGAGTCATCAAGCACGTGTGGTTCTACCACCAGGAAAGCGTCCTCCCTCCCGGACTCATCTGTCTGGACTCACTAAATCCAGGAAGGCATCCTAGCACGTGCCTTGGCATTCAGATGCCCCCAGCAGGCACGTCTACACAAGACCTAGTAATGTGCCAGGGTGCTGTAGCACCCATTGGCAAAAACCATGATACTGCAGCTATGTTGCCGTAGCAACGCGCTTCCTTGTAGTGCATTGCTACGGCGATGTAGCCACCAAAAATAACCATGCACAGCCAGCATGATGCAGTACAGGCTGTTACTGTGCCATCTTTTAGTACTTCCAAAGAAAGTACTAAATGATAGTGCAATAACAAAGGTGCCCTACAGCAGAGGTGGGCAATTATTTCAGGGGGAGGGCCACTTATTGAGTTTTGGCAAGCCATCAAGGGCCGCATGACAGGCAGCCATGGGCAGATAAATATTAATTTTCTAAATTTTTTACCGGCCCCACGGGCCGGATAGAATGGCCTGGTGGGCTGTATCAGGTCTACAAGACGCATTTTGCCTGCCCCTGCCCTACAGCCACATGTAGGCACACCCAACATCACTTTATCTTAGCCAAAAGACCAATAAAGCTGTATAGAAGCCAGACATAAAGTTGTTACTCACTTCCAAGCACTAATTTTTAGCTGCCTGGCTTTTTTTATATATATATATATATATAGCTGGCTGGTCTTTTTGATGGTATGATGATTACTTTGCACTGTGGCTGGTCTAAAGTTATTATGCAGTTAACCAGTTAAGTGTGTGATATTTACTTGGCAGGTCTGGAGGTCTGAATTTATTGTAGGATTGACCAGATAATTGCATAATATATGTAACCTGGAGGAGGGGCATGTTAGGGCACTTTTACAAATGCTCCGGTGGTGAAGGGGCACTTTAATTAGAGCAGCGCTAATTAAAGAGCCACAGAGTCTCATGTATAAGTGCCCCTGTGCTTGAAAATGGTGGCAGAGGTGCTTGAATTAAAGTTCATGCAACAAGCTTTAGTTCAAGCACCCCCACCACCATTTTGAAGCACAGGAACGCTTATACAAGAGACGCGGGAGGCTGCTGGAGCACAGTAATTGCCATGCTCCAACGGACTTGATTAATCAAGTCCACTCCAACGTGCTGTAATCACAGCGCATCGAAGCAGTCTCCACACTCATGTACAGGCACCTTTAGTGCCTAATAGGACTCTGCTACACATTCAAATGAAAGCTGGACAGAAGCCACCTATTAGACTTGTTATACATTTCCAAGCACTAACTTTATAGATGGTTCCATAGATAGAAAATCACTTTTATCATATGGCAAAGACTTTGGATGTGTGGCTGATCTACATTTATTGTGCAATTTACAAGCTAATTATGTGATAATTACTTTGCACCTGCAGCCAGTCTAAACTTATTGTGCTATTAACCAGTTAATTGCATAATATAGGTAACATGTAGATGGGGCCTTAGTACCATATAACCTCACCCCTACTCTGTTTCCTTGTCTCTGCCCCCGCTACATATTTCCTATATTATGCAATGAACTGGTCAACCACACAATAAATTTAGACCAGGCACAGGTACAAAATAATTACCACACTATAAAAATAACTATTCAGCTATAGCAACAGCCAACTAGCTACAAAGTTAGGGTTTTTTGGTTTTTTAAATTTTGTTTCTAGGGCTAAATCAATTCTGAATTCTATTGGGCAAAGCCCAATAGTCAAGTTCCAAATTTGACTGACCAAAGCTCGATCGTTCAAGTCAATGTGGCTCTACCACCAGGCAAACATCCTCTGTTTCACGCACATCAATCTGGGACTTCAGGTACTCCCCAAATCCATGGCAGGCATCCAGTGCCAGATTAAGACAATGCAGACATAGTCCTAAACTATGTCCAGTTTAAGAGGCCCCATATGATAAAAATAATCCAGTGTATGTATATTTTTGTCATATTAGAATGAAAATGTCCATACTTAGAGAGTCATTTTCCCATATCTCCTTTATTTACCAACTGATTATTAAAAAACTTGATATTGAGTCAGTTATTTTTTTCTTATTTAGAGGCCCCTCATATTGTGAGGCTCTAAGATGTAGCTTAAGTAGCTTAAGGCTAAATCCGGCACTGCAGGCATCCTATGTGCAAGCCCCAGTCCCCCCTAGAGTTTGGATGCCCCCTAGTCTTGCTTGATCCTAGCCAAAACGCCGAGAGGAACAAGCCAGAGGGAAAGCTAGAATGCAATCCCCCATTACCACAAAACTGTGGAGTCAGGTTTCACACACTGGGGAAATTTGCAGGGGTCAGCCTGCCCAGAGTGCAAGGGACAGGACTCACCCTGGGAAACCCAACTTATTGATCATGGTATCTTTCCTGCAAGGAAAATGTAACAACTCAATATCTGGTTTCTATCCAGCTTTCATTTGAACATGTAGCGGGGCCCAGAGATGAGAACTCTTTCCAAGTTTGAGTGAGGCAGGAGGCATTATGGGATGCACAAGGGACGGCTCATGTGCATACTTGGATTTTCTATCATTATTTAAAATTTGCTATTATTTATTCATTCATTTGAATGACATTTCCCACGCAGTTGTGTAAGACATTCACAAGCTCTACAAAATTTCTTTCCTTTTTCTACCGTGCAGGGTACAAACTTGCAAATATTTAGGGTTACCCTTTCCAAAGTGAATGTGCCGACAAAATAGGTATGCTCTGGGCTCTGGCGTAGGTAATAATTTCAGTAGTGCTTCTCCTGCCTGCTGGTTGTGGAGTCATTTTAGCTATTTTTGTTCCTGTTTGGGGTTTTTTTTTATCAACTTGCTTCTCCACTATTCTATGCACACTAATGAATTTTCATTATTCCTGGTTTGTATGAATATAAAGGGAGCTTAGCATTCAATGTATTACTACATGGCCTGATGACAAGCTGGTGTTTTATGTGTTTTTTTTTCCTATGTCTCTTCCTGCTAATGTGGCATTTACCCATTGTGTTCTTTCCACTTAAACTGTACCTAATACCTAGCAGATAAAAAGCACTTTTCATGCTAAGACCTTTCAAACATTAAGGGCTAGCTTATGGAGGCCTGACTCTTTTGCTGGCAGTTACTTCTGTTAGTACTTTTAACGACCTCAGTAAGACTGTGTAACTGCATAACACGAATAACTACTGAGCCCTAGGGAGTAAATATTCCATAACCTGGGCTACACTGCTTAATGGAGCTGGTCAGATAATAAAGCGACCTGTGAATATCTTCACAAACATAAACAGCAAATTCAGTAGGTCATTCTTTGTGGAGTCAGCTATTGTTTCTGCTATAATAAATGTTTAAACATTTCCAAGGCTTCATATTTTAATGTGAATGATTATTCATCAAAAAAGTTGTAGTAGCAGTGCGTTATTCATAATTTGTCATTTGTTGTTCTTTTATTTTAAAGAAAAGAAAGATTCAGGTATTCAGAGGGGAGCAGAAATACTGTTGTGCAATTTTAAATAATCAGTAAGTCTTTAGACAGAGTAAATGTTTACAGTAGTAAGCAGTTAAATAAACCATAAACCAAAATCAGGAAATCATTGAGTCAATAGGTATGAATAACACATATTTTCTTCAAAATGAGAATTGGGTCACCAGTTATTTGATAGCAATAAAAAGCTAAATTTGCAACAAACCTTTTCAATTAATAATGTAACCACATGAAAAAAAAATAATACTCAAACACTCCTGTGTGATAAATAAGTATTGTCTCAATTTTACACACAAGAATACTGAGAGTTAAGTGACTTGATTAAAGTCATTGAGTGAGGCACTGTTACAGCCAAGATCATGCCTGTGCCCCTCTCATGGCTATTTTCTGTTATAATTTGTATTATACTATAAGTAGGTCCTGCCTCACTCCTGTTAGGGTGAAGTTTCCCCCTGAGATCTATACTGAAAATGGCAATTAATTTATGTTTCAGTACAGAAAAATGGCCCTTTTCCAGCTGTACCTATGCCCCAAGAAGCCATAAATTGCATGTCTTGATACAAGTTGGGAGGGCTTTTTGGCCAAAAAGAAGCATTCCTTTTTCATGCATGGCACTTCAGTTGTACATCCTCCATCCTGAACTGGGATGAAATTAAATATTATAAAACATATTCCATTCCAAAGAGAAATAACTTTTACCCCTTCAACCTCAGATGTTAAACCA